AGTTATTGAATCGGAATTCCTACTATTACTAGAGTTTATCTCGTTATCTATGTTATCCGAATCCCTTTCCTACTCGCTACTAGAAATAGTATTACCGCCGTAAATATAATATATATTTATCGTTTATTTATTACGTTATAAAAGAAGGCTTATTATTAATTTCTTATATTACTAGCTAGCTTTAAATACTTAGACTTCTTATATATTATGGACTAATTAGAAGGCTCTATTTAGTATATTATAAAGAAGTATTAGTATTCTAGGCTATCTTTAAGAGATAAAAAGAACTAGCTAATAAGAAATATAAAATAATAATAACTAAGGGAAGAAAAAGAGATTGAAATCCTTATAAAAAGCGACGACTTAATTAGTAGCGATTTTATAAACTAAGGGTAAAATAACCCTTAAAAGCTTTTAAAGACTATCGGCTGAGACGTTAAATATTAGAGTTTAAAATACCTAAATCCGAGGCTCTCTAAGCTATACTACGGCGAGGGCTATAACCTATATATCGTATATAATTTAGCGTACTAATTCGGTAAAGTGTAACGAATACTCAAACTGGCTAACTAAACTTGGCTGGGTGTTCGCTGGTTGGTATGCTATGATAAGAAGAAGACTATCGGGTTGTTCACTTGGAAGTGAACTCGTTACTTGTATCAAAGATGTCAAACTAATATGATAAGATTGATAACTAAGTTGAGCACGAAGCTCCTATCTAATGGCAGACGTGCCAGTCTTATATAGAACCTTCATACCCCGCGTATGGTCCGAGTATAGAGTAGTATAAGCCTCCCTTATACTTCCTCATACTCCGGTAGTATAGAGTAGTATAAGCCTCCCTTATACTTCCTCATACTCCCTAGTCACATGATCTTCTGTAAGGAAGAAATCCTTGGATCGTCTAGCTACCCTAAGCGATCCCCATTTGCTATAAGAAATCTGAATGTGCCTGTCGAGGGTTGCGCCTCTTATTATGACAAGTATCACGTGAACACGTGATTCGTGACACATCTCCTACAACCTTTTCCGACTATTTTAGTAGACTTTTTAGACTATCTTAGGAGTCTAATTCGACTATTTTGGGGGTCTATTTCTAGGTATTTGCACACGGAAAGAGCGATTTATAGCATGTACAATAATTACTATTCTTACGTCGTATATCGACAGGATCTTCAACAGTTGTGCGTCAATTGTAAAGCAATCGCAATTCTTATCCTAAATCGAGTTTTCGGGCTGATTCTATGACTTTATATAGACGTTTAAACAACCGCCGGACCCAAGACTCCTTAAATCGATAAGTGGATACAAAGTGGATATCCAAGAGTCCCCACCTCCAAATGTACATATACGACCTTAAGGGGATACCCTATCTAGATCAGTACGTTAGTACGTAGGTAAGTACATCTCCCTTCCCCAACCTAAACTCTTCCTTGAATCTCAACACTTTACCTTAAACATCTAGTACTTTATATTCTCGTTTATTTCTTATAATCGCGTAATAATTACAAGTGGTTCTCGGTGTAGTTAAGCTACGTATACGGGAGTAAGATTACAATTCCTTGTACACGGGATTCCAGGTTCAAGTTCAAGTTCTTACATGTAGTAGAAGTGGGCGCTTGATACTTTGTTGATACGAGCTTTGTCTGTGTAAAGGAAAGGCAGGTGTTGGAAGTGAGGGTATTCCCATGGAATTTGTTAGGGTGGGGAAGTGCGGGATGAGGGCGGTGAGTAGGTAGATGGTTATGTGGGCTTGTAATGGGATTCCTGAGTTTAGGATAGATCTTATACGTAGTATGGCCGTAAAGTGGAAGGAAAGGAAAGGAAAGGAATAGTAGATGGTTAATAACTAATATATATAACGATTACAATTAACGATTACGATTAACGAGTAAGAGCTAATAGCCTATACTAAACAACACCTTATTACTCTAAGCCGCTTAAGGACTTTATACAATATAAAGACTTAGAACGGTAGCACAAGATCTTTTAAATTCAAGATACAAGGTAGAGAGAAGAGGGCTCTTTATAAACTATATAAAGTTAGGTGTTCTTATACCCGGCTAGATAGGCGAGCTAGTACTTAACCCTAGGACGGGGACGTTTTATAACTTTACTTTTTTATTCTTTTCTTAAAGGATATATCTTAAGTTGTTGGTTTGACTTATGGTTAATAAATGGGTGATACAAAGACCTATATTGTCTGTATAATAACTAAGTCCAAGGTTGTATGCCGACGCAAGTGTAGCTAGCTAAGTGCCTACGTACTTATAGATACCAAAGTACGCTAGCGGAGCACGTTAGTCCCGAAGGATTAGCTACGCTCGGAGCTAGCTAATAATCATTTACAATTATAAACCGACACTGGTACAACTTAGAAAGAAGAGCTAGAACGGGTTATAATAGCGACTAAAGCATCTGTCCTGTATAAATCCGTCCCTGTCTCTGTCCTATCCATACTGTCTAATCATATCCGTCTATTTATTCCTTGTCCAATCTATTTCTCGCTTAATTGTTTCGGGTCACAAAAGCAGAGTAACTAATTCCACTTTTATACTAGTCGGGAGACCGAGAAGTCAATTCTGCCTTTTGTAGCTTTCGTAGAAGTAAATCGTATGTTGTATGCCATATACTAACAAGTTTCCTGATTGGTTAGTTAAATATACTATAAATGCGGGGTATTCGGGGCTCTTTTGTAGGGTGAATATCGTAGGGTACCAACTGTCTGGAAGAGCCATTGCGGGGTATCTAGGGCTCTTTTGTAAGGTGAATCGGGGTGGGTTTGCTTGTCTGTACTGCCTGTACCGGCAGTCTGGAAAGTAAGTGTGCCGCTAGTCCAGGAGGCGCAAATGCGTGTATTTGAGGCTCTTTTGCGCTTGTTGCTTGTATATCGGGTGTCTGGAATATATGAATGCGAGTATGCGGCTCTTCCGCAAGGTGAATTTGCTTGTTTTGCTTGCTTGTACTAGCAGTCTGGAAAGTGCGTATGCCGGTAGTCCGAGGCGTAAATGCGAGAGTTTGAGGCTCTTTTTGTGATTCTCGAGGGGCTTAATTAAGAGGTCGAAACTTAATGACTTGTGAGACCAGGGGGTGTCGCACCTAGTCAGTTCGCAGAGGGGTATCGTAAAGTGTATTCAAGAAACCTCCTACTATGGTTGTTTGGTTAGCTCATGTCGTTACAGCCGCCTGTATATGCTAGTTCTCTTGCAGAGTCCCGATACTTTTCATGTAATACAATAAAGCTTTTATCTATTTACTCGCGAGTCCCGTATCGGCTTACTTTGTTCCACCTTGCCCTTTTGCAGAAGCTTATAGTGCTTATCTAGACAAGAAATTTCGACGGGTTCTAACATACTTGACAATACAGTACTACAACTTCGCTGTTGTACCCCCGCCTCAACGCGAGTTCCCTCTAATACGACCTTTGGGCAGGGAAGCAACGCTAGGTAACAAACAACTTTTGTGTGATACGTGCCGAGGTAACCTTTTTGGGAAGATACTACCTGGAGGATTGAATTTAAGCGAGGACACCTACACTGAGTTTGGTTGAATTGTGCTATACTCTGTCAAGTGTTGCAATGATTATAAAAAGCATGGCCTTGACCTTATTTATTCATACGAGAAACCATTTCAGCCTATATAAGGTCTGCCCTGCCGGTTTCGGCGCAAGGGTTCGTATTTGATCTGTGCTATGGTAACCCCAAAATGCAGGTTCTCATCAATCAGACTATTGCAGCCTTCCATCGGCTACTCGCAATCAACGTATGATTTGGTTGACCGATCCATCCCAGCCTTCCTACTTGAGAGCTTATTTCGAGGCTCTGGATGTCACACAAGTTTAATCAATCGCCCATCGACGCTTCTCGTTGCACACTGCTTTTGGCTTCGGGACTGGGAGCGAGCCCTCCCAGTAATAAAAAGGCCACTATGTACTCATTTAAATTTCCTTATGTTCTTTAAATATTCTACTTTGCACCTTCTTCCTAAACTGCCTGGGACTCATCGGAATCAGATAATCGTCAAGCTATCACCTGGGACCCAAGGTTATCATACAGCGGAGCCGGCTTCAATGTCACACTCAAATCTCACTAGCCAAGGTAAGAAGCACGTTCGGGTCTCGCTTTCTATAGCTGATAGTCTCAATCTTTAATTCCAAGCTAATCTTGCCAGTTTCTCCCCCTCTAACCAACACCTTACAACCACAGACGTTCTTGACAGTTCATCAAAGATTCCCAGTGTCACCATACGCTCGAGATCATCCGATGTGGAGAAAACCAACATAGTAACGTCTTGGATTCCGTGGATTGCTTTGGTGTGCTTTATTCTTCATTTTGTATGTTTGGTTTCAGCAATCGCTGTCGTTTATACTTCCAACACCAGACAAGTGGGCCATTGGATACCGGAGCTAGTTTCTGTCCAACCATCTGTCCTGCTCCCAAACTTCGCAGGCATATCAACTGCTTCACTCGACATCTTACTCGCTGGTGGTATGGCGGTTGTTTGGTGGATGAGTGCCCTTGATGGATCAACTTTGAGGGAGTTGCATTATATTTGGAACAAGAGAGATTGGAGGAGTGTAAAAGATATTTTCAATGCAGTCACTTCTGGCCCATCAGTTCTCAAAGTTATACTTGCCACGGGGATCGTCAGAATAACTAAGATCACAGTTTGGCCGTTGCTGCAACGAGCCACGCACACTGTCCGAAGAGATGTTGTTTCAATAAACAATCAATGGTCGTGGGCTGTTGAACCGTGGAAACCACTCATTTCATTATTTATACATGTATTTCATTATTTGCACCGTTTCCGCATTGGGATACTACTCCACTCTTTTTACCCCTATTCTCATATATATACTCTGTACAATAACTGCTTTACAATTCAATCAATTCTACATGACCTACTTGACCCCATACCTTGGAAATCCAACATGGGCGCTCGGGCAAACTATACCAGATGGATGGGTAGGATCAGTGGGGAATGAGGGGTATCCTACTCTCATGGGAAGTCCATACCTGCGGCAAATAGCTCAAGAATGGCAAGCAAAGACGCCAATCCCGAACGCAGACGGATTTTATGACGTTAACTGCACAGGAAGAACACTCGGTGCTGGTATTGTGGCAACATGTAACTCCACCGCCCCAACGGGGGAAGTTGTCGATCTTACGCTCCCTGGAAATCGTAATGTGCCACTGTTTACTACCGACTTCAATCGCTTCAACGGCATGGGCGATATACCAACCCTTAATTTAACAGTGAAATACACTCAAGAAGTTGACAGTTCCTGCAACGCAACTCTGATCAGGGAGACATGCAACATACAGTCTGCCATAGTAGAGTATGATATAATAGCACAAGACGGGATCTTCCTGGAGCTAGATTCCATACCGAAGTCATGGTCACTAAACAAGTCACTGGCAGATTCCATCTTCAAAAAGCCAGGAGCAGCTGCTGGCCTTCTCACGGGTATCGAATGGTTCGGATACTACTACCTTCATGCGAACGCAACACTCCTTCACAATATGACAAGCGATATGTACACCTTTCAGCCAACGGGTATTCTGGCCAGTCAGTACAACGACTTGGACTACACAAGTCTGGCAAATTGTGCATTCGTATGGCATAACCCAACAAGTGATATCCTTAGGAGCTTGCACCAGATTGCAATGCGCATTGCAATCGCATCCTTTGACGGTATGTTAATCGCTTTTCGTTCCTTCTTCTCTTTTCTTTCTATCTTGAGAGAATAAAGGATTCTGACACCAGCGAAGGATTGCCATCACCGAATTCACTTCCCACCAAACTGTCTCAAAACCTACTGGTGTACACCTCAGTTTTTCCATACCTTTGGACGGCAGTCGGGGTGATGATCTTGTCCATGGTATGCAGCTTATGGCTACTATGGGGTTGCTGGGAACTGAAAGAGACTGTGTCTCTGAGTCCTCTTGAAACTGGCTGATCGCTTGGGGGTGTTGCGGAACTGCGCCAACTTAATGTTCCAAGGTTGAATCCAGATGAAATGCTACTTAAACGAAAGAGCAGGGACCCTGTCATACTCAGCAGATCTATTGCTTTTGAGGAGTAAACTACATGTTGGAGCTTCTTTTTCTTCCTACTTTTTTCCTTCTCTCCACGATTAAAGGAAATGGTCCTTTTCCTTTTTTTCGACAAAAAAAAAGGAACAACTCGGTGTCCGCGATGGGAATGACTTGGGCATTTTTTGTTGGTTATCACTGATTTAATGTTTCGAGGTGCTGGGTATATCGATAAACACGTTTCGATATTGGGGGTTTCACGATGAAATATCGTTATCGTAAATAGTAACAATAAAGTATTGTGTTTTTCACGATATCCGATAAACATTGCCATCGTGCCCAGGTCTGAAAGAACCTCCATAAACATGAGCCCAATCAACACTTGTAATCTACAATCGCCATGTTAACTACACAAACTAAGAAATACAATAATCGCATTAATCTCCTCTCGTTTCTTTACCATTAGCTATTAGCCATTAGCCATGGTCTGAGAGTGAGGAAACTTCATCCACAGCATTTTCAAACCAGCCTACACCGGCTTGGAACCACTGCTACAGCCTTCTTTCGATTCACAATTCCCCATCACCCATCCCTAAAATCGACATGCAACCCCTCAGGACTAATATCTACAAAACAGTCCATCTATAACATAAATCTCTGTCTTCCTCGTCCCACCACAGGGTATGGAAACCCCACACCCCACCGTTCTAACAAGCTATAGCATTAGCAAGCAGCACTAGCACTAACACCTCCTATCTCCAGGACACTTCCACCATCGAAATAACACTCCACAGATAGTACCCTAAAGCCTTGGATAAATTATTACGAATTGACCGGCGAAAAGTCTTACTATTACGTATTAGCGGTTCTTACCAAAAATATACATATTAGGTCCGGGGGAGTGGGGAGGAGGCCTAAAGTAAATAGGGTTAGGTAGGCGGAGAGCTGACTAGAATTAGTTTTGTATTTTTACAATCTTCTTTGCTCTAATTAGAGCTCATACAGTAGTGGGTGTCTTGTACTACAATCGACGGATAAGTTCGTACACGAAAATCTAGGTAGATGAAAAAGAAACATTATCCATGGCAATCTAGTCCCCAGCTTATGTGAACGCATCTCACCTCCAAACACTCTGCCGTATCATTCATTATTACCTAATCAATTTCAACCCGTCCACTCCCTAAAAAACAACCATAGAAAATAACAATACTTATAACAGGAAAAGAATAGTAGTAATAAAAAAAATACAAAAAGAATGTTCGAATGATGGATGATAGTGTTCTACCACCCGCAGATTGCGGCTTCTGTGGATCGAACACAGTGCCTCCAGATTCCAATGTCTGAAGTGGTCTTCAGTCTGGCGCTCTCCCAAGTGAGCTAAAGCCGCTTGGTGTGTTTGTTGATATATTCTATGGCTCCCTATTCCCTTACACAATCCCATTCTTGATTTTTTCCTCTTTTCTTTTTGAAGAGAATGTGTGGATTTTGTGCGCTTACTTTTACCGAGCCCGTGATAAGTGGGGTGCTAAGGCGGAGCGGTGGTGGAACACAGTTTGTGGATTCTTGGCGAATGGGTTTAGGTGAATTGATTACTTTCTACGGAGTGAATTATACGGCTGGATGAAGAAGATAGGTACTGACTGGATTCGTTGGTAATGAGACCGTTATTAGTGTTTGGAGCTTTTTGGTATAAATTAGGTAGAGAAGGAACCTCGTACTACATACAATACAGGACACCCAAAGTGAACCACACCAAAACTATATTTGACTAAAACCACACTTCTACCTACAACACCACAACAACAACAACACTTAATTATTATTTAGATAGCGGAAAAGATGCGCATTAATTAGCTGAAAAAATTGTACTTACTAGCTTAATTTTAATTGAATTATATAAAATGTGGGGCTCACATTTGTCGGGTCTTGGCGTTTTCGCCAAATATTTTGAGCCCGCCCCACTTTTCCTAATACGGCTTAACAAAGGGCTATATAGAAATCTGATAAGTGTAATCACTTTGAAATAGTCTAGTTAGTCTTTTTATCTATTAAAAGCTAGTGCTTCTCTATTAAAGTAAATGGTTCTAGTACTAAGGTTATAATATCGATTCTCGTATTTATAACTTTTTATATTCTTGCGAGGGCTATCCGACGGCTGTCCGAGGCTGTCTGAGGAGCTTGAAAAAGTCGGGTTTATTCGAAGGAATTAATTAATAACTTATTATAACTACACTTTAGAATTATTCATAATAGACTAAAAGATACACTATAATTAGTAGAGTAAAATGCACTTACTAGCTTTAATTAACAAAAATAATAGAAAATGCAGGGCTTGTATTACTAGAGTCTTAGCGTTTCGCTAAATATTTTCCTCGCTTATTTTAGCCCCTTGTAGAGACACTTAACTAAGGCTTATATAAAATATTTAGTAAGTACATTCTTATTCTTTTAATCTAATTACTCTATTCCGACAATAAAAATATACTTTATATAGCTAATCTAAAATGTTTTCTAACTAAGGTTAAAATATCGGTTTTAGTATAGTTCACTTTAGGTGTCCTATACTTATACGCACGGGGCTTCCGCCTACCCTAGTAAAGCGCCCAAAAAACTGTGATAATTAATTAATAGAAAAACAACCACATAGTATAAATTCTTTAAAGTAATTCTAAAATAAAGTTCAGAGAGTTAGTAATCTTTTCTACTCCTAGGAATTTAAGATTTCTAAATTACCTCTACTAATATACAGATATTAGAACTTACTAAGCCCTAGTATTAACTAATTTTAAAAAAGCAACTAATAGAAAGTATAAAGAGTAGATAAGCTACAATTTGCGCTACTGAATGATATCTTTTATGGTGGTTGTTATAATATGTTTTGGTAGCTAAGTAGTAGTGGGCGGTTGATCAGGGTGGGCGGAAGCCCCGGGTGGACAAGTACTGTATAGAGTCCTTGAAAATACCCTTTTTCCCCTCCCGACAAAGTGAGAGTGACGTAATGGTACACGATGATTCACCCTAGATCCTTTGGCATTAGCTACTCTTACGACTTCGACAACACAAGTAAGTAAGCTTTATACTCGGCGAGTAGAGGAGAAAGTGGGAAGTGAGTTACTGTTAGCATCCAATAGTTAGTAAACTTGAGAGAGTGCTAGGTAATGAGTAGGTAGGACCTTGAATGAACAAAAATCGGCATGCTTGCTCTTGCCTTGTCCCACTGTTTTGGAGATGGGTCGAAAGCAGTGATAAGAAGAAAATCAAAGCGCAGCAATCGTAAATCTCTGGACGATCCTGATCACTGGTAGCTCAAGGAATCATAATAGATGTAATGTGTACAGTATAAAATTTGGTATTCATCTACCCGAAGCTTTTGATGTCCTGAACTCCAGCTCTGCTCATGATCAACGCCAAATATTAAATCCCCAATAGACCCATTCTACGTGGGAAAAGATTCAAGAAGAAAAAAAGACACTTTACGGAGGAACGATGTTAAAGCCCCTCGCCTCAATTTGGTGAGTCCACCTCTCCTTTAACTTGCTCGCCCTCAGGACCCTGCCCTGGTGTAGTAGAAACGCGGATAGCCTCGTCTAGAATGTCGATGCCTTCCTGTATCTCCTCTTTGGTGATATTCAAAGATGGTACAAACCTCAGTGTATTTGTTCCAGCCGTAATGATCAACAATCCTCTCTCCCGGGCGGCCGTTACGATTGGCGTCGGGTCTTGAGTAAGTTGTAAACCAAGGATAAGCCCGCGTCCTCGACTTTCCTTTATCAGATGGGGGTATTTCTCTCGCAACTTTTCGAAATGATCGAAGAACATCTGACCCTTTTCCTGAACTTCTTTTAGGAGCCCGCGGTCCGAAAGACGAGTCACAATGTTGTGGGCGACTCGAGCTCCCAGTGGGTTTCCACCAAAGGTTGTCCCGTGGTCTCCCACATTGATCGCCTCAGCCACTCGTTCATTAACGATAGTTGCCCCAATAGGGAAACCGTTCCCAAGTGCTTTTGCCGTAGTGATGATGTCTGGATGGGCTTCACGTGGCAACGAGGAGTGTGCCCAGAAGCTACCTGTTCTACCGAGACCGCATTGAATCTCGTCGTATATCAACACCACATCCCGCTCCTTACAACGCTGTGCCAATTTCAACATAAAAGAAATCAAGGCCACGTTTACACCTCCTTCGCCTTGGATTGGTTCCACAATCACACCAGCTGTGCTATTTTGGATCATCTTAAAAATCGCGTCCTCGTCGTTCAAATCTATAGAGTGAAACCCTGGCAACATTTTCCCAAACGGCTTTTGATATTTGGGATTCGGTGTTGCAGAAAGAGCTCCCAAAGTTCGACCGTGAAACGCCCCCTTGAAAGAAACAATCGACCTCTTGTTTGGGCTTTTCGCAAGTCCAATCTTGCGTGCGAATTTAATGGCGGCTTCATTCGCTTCCGTACCGGAGTTGCAGATAAATGCCGCACTGGCATCGTGCATCCCCCCTAATTCCGCGGTCTTTTCCACAAGAAGTTTCGATAGCTTTCCAGTCCAGGGGTTATGGTAAAGGTTGGATGTATGAACGAGGGTTTTGGCCTGTTCCGCAATAATTGCGGCCATCTCGTCGTCGCAATGACCCAGGACATTAACTGCTATGCCAGCCGTGAAATCCAAGTACTTCCTGTCCTCCTTGTCCCAGAGGTTGACGCCTTTTCCTCTGACAAATACCGGTGGTGGTCGTGCGTATGTCTTGACCATATATGGGGCTTCTTCCTTGACTTGTGCGCCAGAGGGAGAGTCTTCGACGGGATCGGCATTGGAGAGGGGTATTTGTGGCTGTATGAAGACTGTTAGCTCGATGAAGGGGGATGTGTGATTGGGGATGTGCTGACCGGTAGTTGGTCTGAAATGTTTTCTGACGGAGTTATGGCCGCCGCTGCTGCTTGGGAGGAATATCTTTGAAGGGCGCAATTGACGGGAGTGGGAAAACGAGAAGGTCTGAACGAGCCTGTCAGCCTCTTTGCAGATATTCGGAGGACCATTCCGAATATCGTATGTGGAAGAATCGACTTCCTCCAAAATCAAAATAGAAGTTCCGTAAGTTGAATGTTATGAAGTTGGTCAGAGAATGACTGTTAGAGGATGTGATTGAGGTACCAAGTACCCCCTGTCGATGGTCACCCCACCCCACCTAATCTTAGCGTTATCGGAGCTGCAGCCGATTTTTTCTTTCCCACCTATCTGCCGCCGCTCTCATTTTTAGCCTAAGTCACGTCACGCCCAGTGGGAGCGGGGCACCTAAACTAGGTGCCCCTAAAAACCTGATTCAGGTACCCTCGCTTTACGCCCGGCTATATTACAAGGGTACCTGATTCCTATATAAAATAGCTAAAAAACACTTAAATTAAGTATTCTTATATAAGAGTACTATTAAAAAAAAATCTCTCTTAATTTACACTAATTAATAATTAAAATATATAAAATACTTGAAAATCTATAATCTAACTATTCATATACACCTAAATATAGATTAAACCGCCCTCTATCCTAGAGATAGTACTATCCTCTTCCTTCTGCTAAAACCCCCTCCTATAAAAACACTTTTCTATATAATATAATCGTATTACTATAAGACTATATTACTTTAAGAAACAATACTAAGGTCTTAAATATTCCTAGGTATTCCTAGGCTTCCCTAAGCCTAATTCTATAAAATATACTCTAAAAATACTAAGAACCTTTTAAAGTATTAAAATATAGAACCCTCTTTCTTTTGCTATATATATTAAGTAAATATATATTACTTACTTTAATAATAAGTATATAATTAATAGTAAATATAATATATAATTTATAAAAAATACTATAACTTATTTACTATTAAATATAAATTTATCATGAAATTCTCTATAAGTTATACTTAACTACCTACCTTTTTTTAATGTATCTAAGATCCTAGAACAAGTTTAAACATTTATTATTAATTATCCTCTTACTATTAAATCTAAAGTAGTCTTTTTAGTAATAATCTAGTAAGTTGTCACGAATCACGTGTTCACGTGATACTTGTCATAATAAGAGGCGCAACCCTCGACAGGCACATTCAGATTTCTTATAGCAAATGGGGATCGCTTAGGGTAGCTAGGCGATCCAAGGATTTCTTCCTTACAGAAGATCATGTGACTAGGGAGTATGAGGAAGTATAAGGGAGGCTTATACTACTCTATACTACCGGAGTATAAGGAAGTATAAGGAAGGCTTATACTACTCTATACTCGGACCATACGCGGGGTATGAAGGTTCTATATAAGACTGGCACGTCTGCCATT